GTCCAGCACTGTAAAGCTGCATTACAGGCAAAATGTCAAGGACTCTTCTCCTTATCCAGCGAGGCTAGGGTACCATCCATTTTAGCTCATAGCCTTCTGAATGGATCCAATTAAAGTCCCTCTCTAATGGAACTGTTCTAGACTTTCAGGACTTCGTCGCTGCTCAAACTCCCTCCAACCCTGTTCCCCCTCACTCAGCTACCCCCTCATCACCCCTCTCCCATGGCCCCACCACTGCTCTGACCCCCACTTCCACCCCACATTAGAGATATGCTCTAAGAGTACAGCAACACTCTCAGTAACCATCCACCTTACAGACACTGGCGAAAAAAATGAGGTACTTCCTGTATAGGAGGGGTTATATAGGGGAGGACTACTTTCAGATTGGTTGGTCAGTGTCCACTCACTTATAGGTAGCCTATAACTTACATAGTCATGAATAGCCTGCTCTGTGTCCCATGATGTACGATAAAGAAAGGAGTTTTTGTGAAGCTTAAATCAAGTTTCCAATTGCTTGATTGTTTTGAATTGGTTATCCACATAGAGCTGGGAAACAGTCTAAATACCAGCTGCCTTCCACACTTGAAAACCTTGGAATTTTTCAAATTCTGGTAGCTTCTCATTCTTCCAGAGGTGTATAAATTTTGTAGGACCCGCTTTGTTCAATATGTGTTTAGAGTTGTCCCATACTTTCCTCATAAGATGAACCACAGGACTATGCAAGGTATTCGTAACATAGGAAGGGGATTCTAGTGACAGAAGGGGATTGTGGATCAGAAATGCAGAGGAGGGGCAGCTAAACAAATTCCAACTAGCCAGATGTTGCAGTTGTAATGCCAAAAAAGAAGTACAAGGGTTTGGGGTAGAAACCCTCCCAAATCTTTTGGGTATTTTTGGGTGTCGATTCCTTCAAAATAAAAACTTGAAATATAGTGTTAATTTTGATAGATACAATATTTCTTATTTACCTGAATAAAACAAAGCAAACAATGTAGGCCTGACCATAAAGAAAGAAATGCATGTGAAAACACTGTACATTAGAACTTTGCTCTACAACATAAATGCAGAGACTATATACAAAGAACGGTTGGTGCATCCTAGCACCCTACATAATAAAAATGCCACATTAACTGCAACCCTATTACAAATGCTAGAAATATTCCATTTCACAGTTGTCATGATTCCAATGCCCTGTTGCCAGGTGCTCTAGATTATGCATGATTACGAAAGGTGTCATATTAAAAAGGGGCCACAATTATTTCATGTTATCAGGTATTGCATTACAGCAGCATAATGATGACGTCTAACCAGGTGCCACGTTGCAAGTGCTGTATTGATACAGAGCTACCAGGTAGCATGCTATATACTGTATTTTATAAAATTCTTGTTATAAATCCTGAGGGTTATTTTCTCCTACACCCCCTGCCCATCTCTGCCTGTCATGTCACAAAATTCTCTTTAGGAAGTATACAGAGCAGTTTGTGACAACTTCTACTATCCTACATCTCAGTGTATGGATGTGGAGAGATAAGCATGACTTTCAATAAACCAATCAAAAACTAGAAGAATGAACTGTTCATCATGTGAGCTAATTTGTGGTCAATATGGGGGCGACGAGGCTGACAGACTAGTGACAGCTACAGAATCCTCAGGCACAAGCTTGCAAGGTTCTACTGTGCTTTATCTTAGTTATAAGATGGCACAATCTCTGATACATTGTATTAAACCAGGAATCAGTAAGGGCCCATACACACTGTTGTGTCCTGTTAACATGCACATTACTGTAAAACACTTTAAATGCATTAGCATGTTGCGGTGCCATTCATTTTCAAAAGGCACCCCAACACATTTAGGGAACATATATACACTGCAGGTTGCCACAATGCAAGGTAATGTTTGTTGTGGTGCACTACATAAAAAAAAAGGTCATTTCTCTTTATTTGCCATTTTGGTGCCTTTTTGCTATGTGCGTTACCGGACCAAAAACATGTAACAAGGCACCAGGACAATATAATGTCAAGCCCACCAGCATATTATGTCAAATACAGCAAAAGGACAGTACAATTGCATACAAATCAATATATTCTGTTAAAACTTTTCTGAATCAGGACACAATATTCTTTTTTTTTTTTTTTAGGGGGATAGCAAGTACTTTATGACATCAGTTTCAGCTTGTACTTTTTCCCTATAAACAGCCATTTAATGGAACCGCTGCTTTCTTTTCTTGTCTGGTGAAACATTCTTGGAGAGAAAGGAAAAGAGCAGTAATTTGTTTTTTTTTTTTACATGCACTGGTTGTTCTCTAGTGATTTTGATTACTGTACTGACCTAGGATTACTCCTCTGCACCTGCTGCCATGTGTTAAGTGCGGAGCTTAATAAAAGAAGGACGCTCCATGGGGTGTGTCAAGTGGGAAGAGAGAAACTAAACAGATTCTGATTATCCACTTAAAAATGACAGGCTACCCCGGATTATCTCCCCATGACACATTTGCCTTGTTACTGTGTGTATTTTTAATCATGTGGGCAAGAAACGTAACTCCTACTGGTAAACACAGTTACACAGTACACAATACAGATATTGATTAAAAGGTTTATTCTTCATAATACTGCAGAGTGTATTGGAATGCTCCAAGGCTTACCTGAATCTACATATACAGAAGTACAGTATACCAGCAAAATTTGCTGCTGCACACATGGGATACACTGCTTATTAACACAGTAGGCTGGCAGAGCTGGCTCAGGGCTAATAGGAGGGTCACAATAGTCTTTTATACAGTACACTCTGCAGGAAAAGAGGCAAGACAAAAAAAAATCCCAACATAAAAGGAAATACAAAAAGGCACTATATCCCAATGGAATGAAAACAATGACACAAATGATTCATAAATGATTCATTATACATCCAGTTATCCAGTTTCATAGTTCAGTTCCCATAATTTATATCCTATATTTTGTGGCACAGCAATCAGCTATACAGAGGTTTCCTTGGACTCGGCCACTGGCGGGTGGAAACTTGTCACCTCCGCGTAGGTGATATCTAAGGGGAACAAAACAAGCAATAAGTGATTTCATCAACACCACACTGATATATCCACTTGAAACAACTTCTACATCAGCTATTTTTTTTTCAAGGCTGGGCTGTATAATGGCCAGTTATTTGTTAGAACTAGTGACACTACTAATATGTATTAAATGGTATGTAAACCCAATGATAAAAACGCTTTTACATGGGTGGCAGGGGCTGGTAAAAACAGATGGCTGAGCTGTGGCACCCCACTAGATCTTAACAATACAGTTGGAAAAGGCTGTACACATGTTGCTGCATGCTGCAGCATTTTTACCTTGGGCTGCAGAGTTTGAAAGAAGGTGCCACCTGTCAAACTCGCACACTGAGTACAGTATGGTCGCTTCAGAACTGTGAACCAAACGCTTGGCTAACAGTTACGACATAGTCCTGCAATTTAAAACTGAAAAACACTAAATACATAAATAAATAAACAGGCACCAGGAGGCAAGAGTATCCCTCCTGAACACTTGTCATCCACAGCTATACCTCCCTGTGAAAAGAGGTCCAGTGCAAATCACTTTTCAGAGGGCAGTAAGCAATACTGCTAATTACATAGTTAGTTTGGCTGAAAAAAGTCCATCTAGTTCAACCATAAAAGGGTAAAAAAAAAAAAATTATATCCTATACTCAGATAAGATGGATAGACAGATAGATAGACATACACACAGATAAGTTATCCATATGTACCAACCCACAAAGACACACGACTTTGTGGGTTGGTGCATATAGATAATTACCTGTCCATGTGGATACTTCGTATTGGAGAAGGCTGTATATACACTGATAATTTGCTCTAATCTATAGCAGGAGCACAACACACCAAGCAGTGAACTGCATGATAGTATAGCTTCTATCAGAGGTGGTATTTAGGTTTTCTAAATCTGAATCTAAAAATTTATAGGAGCCCTGCTCTGAAAGAAGTATGTAGGCTGCCCTGGCTGACCTGTTTTTTTGAAAATGGTAATTTTCTGCATGTCAAACTCTGTTAAACCAGTTCTATGATGCAAACAGCCTACCAGACAGCACAGCACATTCCCATAGCAGTAGCAGTTCATCCCAGTCCAGGATGCAACCTCAGCCTGCTTAAAGGACAAGTTCACCTTTTATAAAACAAAATACATAAATAAATACACATCATTTTTTATAGGTCAAAAATGTGCATTTAGTATTTTTTTTACACTGCAGCCTGTAAAGCATTGGATTCACAATCAGCAGATTGCAGGTGCAATGCCAGGCTCCTACAAACTGCCAGCCATCTGCCAATAGCTACCATGCCGGCAGACAGTTACTGAACTGCAGGAAGAATCAAATCAATGAACTACGAAAGCGCTCGCCTGTCCCTTCATAGTTCATTGAAAACTACAAGCCATCTGCCGTGATGGCTGATCGTGCTTATAGTTCATTCATTCACAGAACTCTGTTAATTCATGATGCAGCCGTGGGTGGAGCCCGCAAGGCAGCACAGTTTTTAAATTGTGACAGAGGGTGTGGGGATCAGAAGGGGAGTGCAGGCAGGTGCTGCACTGTAACATGTTACAAAAGGTGAAACTCTAATGGAAAATGGAGCAACAGCTCCTCTCTTGACTATACTGTCAACCAGTTCCCTGACAGTACTGGTCCTACAGGAGAGCCTAACAGTTTATTGCACTGGCCATCCAAAAGTCTCAGTGTAACTGTAGAATGTGTTTAAATATAAGTATTTTGCAAGTACAGCTATTTACACAGTTTGAAACCGATGTATAACAGAGGAATAAACATTGACTATTTCCGGTCCTTGTTGCTTCCTAATATAAATTACTGGCTTCCTCGGAGTTCTGTGTGGAAACCTAGGCATTGACTACCTGCTCATGTACAGGACACACTGGATTGCCAGTACCTGGAAGATATCCATACTTTGTAAAATGTAACTACTGCAGTGGGATTTGCATTTTTTAAGTTAGGAAACAGCAGGGAGGGGAGGAGTATGGGAATAGTATGGTTAAATCTGCTTTAAGTGCAAATGAGACAAGACAGAATAGAAAGAGAAAACAGCTTGGATATTTCCTTCTACACTCACGCCTCCATTCTTCAAGAGGAAGTTCTAGATTGTCATGTGAATCATCATATGGATCTGCTTCTGCCTCATCGTCAGAATCATGGAACTGCTCAAAGTATGGATGACATAAAGCATCAGTTGCTGTTATTCGCTTATCTGCATCCAACACCAACATCTTTTCCAGCAGGTTGACAGCTAAAGACAGAAACAAGAAGCAGAGATGAACACTAAATATGACTCCTAAAAAAATAAATCTTAGTCTGAATCCACATAGAAGCTTAGATATACCAAAGCAAAAATTTAAAAAGCATTGAAAACATGCTAAAAGCTTAAAATCATTGTTTTACAATGGTTAACGCAAGCAAGCATTAGAAAATAGTTTAAAAATATAAAAAGTTAAAATGTGTTTAAAATGTTACCTGCAAATATATCAATTTAAGTCACAAAAAAGCTTCCATCACTCTGAACACATCTTAACAATCTGGTTTTAAAAGAAAAACCTGCCATGAGAGAAACAAAGCCCATCATTGCTGACCTTCAGCTGTCTCTAGATTCTAACTTTTCTAAATCATTGACCCACAACACAAGTATGCAAATCAGAAAATCAGAGTGAAGTCAGAACATCTGATCTGCAAACACATTCTAGTTTAATGACTCAGAAAGTATTACAGTTAACCTGTCAGAAACCTGGGCAATTCAAAAGGAGCACTTGATGAAAAAATGCATACCCAAAAGGTTACCTTTAGTGAATACCCAACTTCAAAATGATCAATATAGAAATAGGCTGCTGAAGTTACATGCAAATCTTAACTTACTGCAAAATTTGATCCTGCCTTTCCCATCTCCCTACTGGCCTGGGATGCACCCACTTTCAATAGTCAATACAGGAGGCTGGCAGAGTGGAGTCATGCATCTTTAACAGGAAAATTCAAGATTTGCAGATAGCGTCAGCTTTCTATCTCTTGGACCTTCTTATTTTGCCATGCAGTGATGTAATCTCAGCTCATGACATTTTTTCATCAAGCACAAGTAAATATTGCATTGGTATGTGGTTAATTTACTTTAAAACCAAAAAGTCCGTATGACAGCCAGAAAAATAGCATTTTCAGAGGGATAGGTTAACAACAACAGCCTACATACTTCTCTCTTGACAGGTGTTCTGTAAACCAGTTGCAATTTATGTTTAAAGAACAGCTTATAGAAGTTTTCAGAACACTGCTATCAGTACACAAAAAAGTAACTCCCTATTTTACTCTCCCTCTAATTCTTCCCATCCCATAATTATTATATTATAGCCATACCGGGGAATATTTTTTATTTACATTACCCATAAATTTATGTTGCAATTACAATTTCCTACATTTTCATGTACATCCATTGTACAAATGAAAAAAGCATCTGCCTTGATATACCAAGTTTTGGTGGAAGCTTGTTACTTCCATCAGCTGTTTTAAATAAGAGCAGTACATTTGAAAATATTTCCAACAGTACTGCTTTTTCTTCTTTTTCTTAAGCCCCACATGGATCAAAATTCACCCAGTTCAAGATTTGACTTATGTATGGGCTGACTGTACTGAAGCTGATCGATTGATCAACTTGGGTACAATCAAACAGCCTGCCAGATATTTTTTACATGAGATTACTGCTGGCAGCTATAGCCACTACCAATAATCATTGTGCTCTGCCAGCCAGGAAGGCCTCCTGCGCCTCACCTTCTCCCCCCCCCCCCCTTTCCTGGCGGAGCACAAAAGCGCTGCAGAAGGCACTGCTGGTGGGTAATCAAGCTATTTTCTTTCCATCCACACGTGGAATAAATCTGAAGCCGTTTCCCGCAGTACATCTTTTTCACCACAAGATGCCCTTGGTCTTCTGGGTTCAAAGACACTGAGCATCCTTCAATTTAGAACACTGAGGACATCTTGTGGCAAAATAATAGTACTGCGGGGGACAGCTCTGGATTAAAGGGTAAATACTGTATATTGCAGCCTGGACTGCTTTTTTTTTTAATTTTTAAACATGTGCTGGGGATGGGAGCTCTTATAACTTTAAAATTAAGTCCAACTCTGAGCATTTTTTTTAAAACATGTAACAATCTTACTGTATAATCTTCTTTAAATCTATTAATAACTCTAGTGCAAGGCCTGCCTTACAAGCTGATTAGCAAATTAAACAGAGAAGTGTAGAATAGCAAAAATAAAGTAAAAAAAATACATACTCTGCCAACTCTAAGCCCCAGGACTGAGCGATCATTGACTGCTGATCGCTTAGTTCTCATCTTCACTGAGCAGACATCGGTGACTGTTAGTCACTGGCTCTCTGCTTTGCCCCTCCAGTGCTTACTGGAGTGCCAGGCTGTGGAATGGCAAGAGTGGCTGGCTCAGGCTCTCAGTAGTGCGTTGAGAGGCAGAGTAAGCTGTTGTTCAGGTATCTGGGTGGATCCTACCATTATTGTCAGGATCCCTGCAGAGCCTGGATTGACTGTGTTACGTCAGCAGACAGTGGGCTTTAGCCTACTGTTGCCTAAACCTGGGTCACAGGAGTGCAAAAATAAGTGCACTCCTGTGACCCAGAGAAGAAGTATGGCCAAAAAAGCTTTGGTCATACTTCTCTTAAGTATGTTCTTGTATTTCTCAGTTTTAGTAAATCTAAATTACATTGTACAAAGATTTTAAGGTGTATTGTCATAACCTCACCATGCACATTCAAACCTGAAAATGCAATCTTTGTCTAATCTCATTTAGATTTACCAAAACTATGTAATGAGGATCTAATTAACTATCTGCTCAAAGGAACAGTTTTGCACATTTCCCATCTACTATTGTTTGGGTGGGATGTGCAGAACTTTAGATTTCCCCTCACTTTCTGTTCAGATGACAATAGTCACCGGAAGACAGAGTGCAATAACATGTTGCCTAGATCTAATGCTTCACCGTACAATTTAAAACTGTAGTTATGACTAGAGTGCTAGTAAAAAAATATTTCTAGGATTAATTTTAAGCAGTCTAGAGCTCAGTACCACATCTTATTATGCATAGCTGCCATCTTTAAATCACCTTATTTTTAATTGTGGACTTTGTGGCCATTATTATGGCAGACTAACTGAATCCATTATTATGAAAAGACTTATGAATCCCATTGTATCAAATCTGACACCCAAATATCAGATTTTAAAAAGGAAGTATTAAAGTTTTCAGGGTAAATCAGACAGCAAAATGTAGGTTGCACAAAACAGTCTGAAGTAGGGGTCCACTTCTACTACCTGGACTTTTATTAAACATATTTTAAATGCCATTTTTAGCTTTCAGCCAATGATACTTTAAAATGTCCTTATAAACAAATAAATGCACAATAAAAAGTGTTACCAAGAGGGTTTGCGTATCTCAACAGCAACCCAAAGTCTTTCTTCTGCACCTTTGGGAGACTCTTGATATAATTTTTAGCCTGAAACAGAACAAGCATTTAACTATTTAAGCTGTGCTTAATAGTCAATTTCTTGTATGTAAATATAACATTCAAATTAATGCTTTATGAGCAAGAATAAATCACAATGAATCAAGTAGAAATATGTGCAATATGTGTATGTATTAATATATACTGTTACTTATGGTTATATGTGCTGGTGAGAAAATATACATTATAAATGGTTGTACTTACATCAGGACTCTGAAGCTTCTGGACAAAGTCCTGGGTAGGTGTTCCAGTAATTTTCATTATTTCTGTAAGCTGATCCAGATCTAATACTTGGGTTAAAGATCATTTTTATAACCCACAGGAGTGTTTTTTTAATTGTACATTCCAGGACATATGAATTCTTAGACTATAGGCTTATACTCCACCTTCAGGTAATTGGGTCCTGGCTTACAGCCACATATAACCCCTCCCACTCCCACCATTGCCTCAGTTTTTTTGCTAGTGTCTGCAGGGAATAGACCTGTTTCCCTTTGTTTTGAGAGAGATTGCCTTCTGCACTGATTGATGTATAGGAGTTCTCCTTGAACTGCCTTTCTCTGCTGAGCTTTGGTGTTTAATATCTGTGGCAGTTTTCCAGATCCATCCCTACAGATGTTTATATCCTAGAGAGACAGCACTCCTTAAAAAAAAAAAAAACACAGTGTAGTCCTCCAAGTCTCGATCCCCGGTGCCAGATCCACCATGCAGGCTAAGCCCAAAAGAGCATAATAATCACAATACTGAGTAGAAGCTTCAAAAAGTCCTGGAACCTTAACCATTTCTCTTGCGGGGGCAGCAAACCAGCTCTGGCTCTCAGTTTCTCAGCAGCTCCATCAGGAACGCTCTCTTCAGGGACCTTCACGTCCAGGGTGAAATTTTCAGCTGGTTTTTCCACCATGTTGGAACAGCTAGCAGATATTTGTAAGGATCTACAGTGAGGTGACCGTAAGAAGTGTAGGTCTCTGTCCCCACTGGAGCTACATTGTGCCTTCCCCCCCCCTTCCATCCTCTCAGGATGGAAGAGAAATTTGAGCAGAGATGGTCCAAATAAGGGGACTCTGAGGCAGAGGAGTCCGCTGCAGAGGACACCAGGCCTCCAATAGGTCTCTGTCTCATCAGTCCACAGAAGGTTCTCACAATAGTAGTCTGAAAGACCTTTAAAACGGTCTCTACCAAAACCTTTGCGGTCTAATGTATCCGGGTTGGGGTCTTGAAGCGCGTCCAAACCAACCAAGTCCTTTCTGTTGCATCCTCATACTCAAGAGGCTCTGTACAAGGATTATGCTCAACCAGACAAGGTAAGCGGTTCACGCAACAATACCCCGATGGAAGGCAGTTTCGACAAAAAGTGGGCAGTCCCTACTGTGTACCCTGTGATGTCAACCAAATAACAACCTTACTGCCTTCATCAGGAACCAAGAAAAGTTCCTTTCTTTTCAGAACTCAGGGGCCAAAACAGACTTCCTTTTGGATCAAGTCCTGGAACCCCAAGCCAGCCAAAACACACCCTTGTTCCAAATGAAAGGGTGCCCCACTTCTACAAAAAAACAAAACAAAAAAAAAACAACCCTATTTTTTTCTCTGAGCCACTTGCAGGGTTCACTGCCTGTATTCCAAAACCAGAAAGATTTCATAGATATTACCTGTTCACGGTGCCTGAACCAAATGGCGATGTGCGTCCAATTCTGGAGCTGAAATGTTTGAACAAGTTCTTACAAGTTTAAAAGTTCCATATGGAATAAGTCAGTGGTTGCTTCCCTCCATCTGGGGGATTTCCTTCCTGGCCTAAGGTGGACATCAAAGAATGCCTGCCTCCATATCCCTATATTTCTGTGTCATCAATGCTACCTGCACTTGCAGTCGAGGAACAACAGTTTGTAGCTCAGGGCCAATGTGCAGCAGATAGTGTAAGTCCTGCAGGTGAGTTCTCAATTTCAGAAAGTCAATCTCGGAGCCATGGCACTTACTGAAATATCTGGGCCACATCCTGGAGATGTTTTGGACTCTTTGGGCCAAGGTGGGAGAGTGGAGTCCCCTGAAATACCCTTCCAATCACTGCTGCATGAAGATGCTAGAATTGATGGTAGCCTTTTTCGAGGCAGTTTTGTACTCTCAGTTTCAATCAAGACTGTTGCAACTGTAATCAACATTTTTTTGGCAGGAAAAAAAAAACAAAAAAAAAAAAACGCAGGACTAATGGGTTTCTAGAGGAGTTTAGCTGTTAAAAAACGCACTAATGCTGAAAAACGTGGCAAAATGCAGTAAACCACTGCAAACCAGCGTTTTTTGGACTTTTTTTGACCAAAATATAAGAAAAAGAAAAGCGCCGCTAAACGTGGCAAAACGCTAAGGCAAAAACGCTAACAAAAGCAGAAAAACTCACTTTTTTAACGCGACTTTACACAGCTAACGTTACCAGCGTTATCAAAACATCCAGTGTGCATGAGGACTTAAAATAATGACTATTCAGCCTGGTGCTGGAACTCAGTCAATTCAGTTTGAACCTTTAGCAATGATCCCCCTGCTCTGTAGAATGCCAGTCAGGATCAAATCCGACAACACAATGGCAGTGGTGTACCAGAAGTCAGGCTGATCTTTAAGAAGCAGAGAACATTCTGACTTAGAACCAGAACATGAGTTCAAACCATCCATGGTACACATTCTTGGTGTTAAATTTTGACAAGCAGGCTTCCTCAGCTGCCAATGACTGGTTCTCAGATGGTGGTCTCTCCACTCAGAGGTGTTTCACCAGCTTTGCTTTGATGGGGGACAAATGTAATGGCAACCAGACTCAACCACAAACTGAAGGGGTTTGTGTCCAGATCTAGGGATCTTTGGGCCTTCAGAGTAGATTCCATCCAGTCATTTTGTGATTTATGCATTCCCCCTCTAAAGTACCTACCTCACTTGCTTCAGAAGATAAACGGGAAGACACTGGAGATTCTCACTGTACCAAGCTGGCCAAGGAGAGTGTGGTTCTTGGATTTAGACAGACTCCAAGTGGACTCTCCCTGGGTTCTACCAGACTGGCTGGATCTTCTCTCTCCCAAGGCCCTGTGTTCCATCCTGCTTTATGGTCTCTGGCTTCGATGGTGTGGCTGTTAAAGTCCAATTCCTGAGGGACAGGGGTCTTTCAGACTCCATAATTTCCACTTTGAAGAAGTCAGGAAAAGTAAAAAAAAAAAAAAAAAATCCCCCCCCCCCCTTTTTTTTTTTTTCCAGCTTTGTCTAATTATCACAGCTGGATTTGGGACCAGGTAAGCAGATTCCTATCATGCAAGAATACAGCTTCTATAGGTTGCTATACAAACACTGATCCTAACACAGATTGAGCACTGCTAAACACTTTATCAAGTAAAGAGATTTTTCAGGTTGCTGTTAAATCTGCATAATGTCATACGATCTACCTGAATAACATGGGAGAAGTCAAAGATCACTGGGCACGGTGTTGTCTCCTCACTCCTGATTTATACCTCTAATTGTTGTGCTACAGTGTCGCAATCATGTGCATTGCACAGCAAATATGACCTTAAATTCAGGTGATGAGGAGGAAACCTATCACCTCCTCATCACCTTGTGAATGGTGCAGCAGGAATGAAACTCCTGTTGCTTTAGGTGGGTGCTACTGCCTGTAATCATGGCCAAGTAAATGGGACCACTCTGCAAGTGCCCCAAAACTGCATGCTTCTGCAGGATCCAAGGGGTTAAAACAGGTGGTGAAAAAGCAACACAACGCTGCCTGTTTTACCTCCTTGTTTGCTGTACCGCACAAGGTTGCAGGGCACTTGCAGAGTGGCCTCATTCACTTGAATGGGTCATGCTTGACAGGTGCTACACCCACCAACCATGACAGGGTGTATAACTCCTCAACATGTGTACACCCCTGGCCACGATAGCTAAATGGAGAGGTAAAAGTACATCTTAACTATGGGGTTTTTACCACCCCCCAAACTGCAAAATGTAACTGGACCCTTATTGTTCTGAGCCCCCTATAAGGCCGTTTTTCACATTGATGTGCTGCAGTTTACCTGCACTGCGGATGCAGCACAGTGAACCTGGAAACCTCCTGGGTTAGCTGCGCTTTGCCATAGACTTCTATCCTATCCTGCAGGTGTGGTTCACTTTGCACAAAAAAACTCCTGCATTCTGGAGTTTTGGTGTGTTTTCAGAAAGTGCAACAAACACGCAGGATAAAATAGAGGTCTATGGCTAAGAGCAGCAAACCTGCAAGAAAGCTGCAGGTACACTGCACTGGGTTGGGTAAACTGCAGTGCATCAGTGTGAAAGCAGCCCTATACACTATTATGCCCCGGGACAGGGGCCAGCACTACAGAGGAGGCTTTTGCTCCCTACTACAGCTCTAATTTTACAAGTAGTCCTTCTGCATTGTGGGGGATGGAGGGTCAGCAAGCCAAGATCACGATCTACCAGTCGCCTGGCCGCAATCTAATAATTGCAGACCCCCGATGTAGGCTAATCAAAAAATGAAAAGAAGGTGTTAACCAATAGCGAGGCACACTAGGGTTAGTTTCAGTAAATTTAGGGATGGACAGGTGTTATACTGCCCATAGAACTCAGGGGACATCTTCTCTTCTATGGGTTATTTAAAGCCCCACTCCTGGGTAAAACCTAACCTCCCTCGTAACCTCCTCTAACCCAATCCTCCTAGCCTTTTTAGTTTCCTTACTGTATGAAGCCAGGTATACTCACCTGTGCCCCGTCCAAGTCCCACACCACTGCTGTTTCTGGGTAGAGAAACTGCTAAGCCAGCGTTGTGATGGTCCCCAAGGCCATAGGACCCCTTGACTCCCTCTTCAGCTGTCATCAGTCCTCTCCTTGATTCTAAGAGGACTCCACTGCAAGCCATCCAATAGAAATTGCAGTCGTCACTCAAGCTAGTTCTTCAGTAGTCTCCGGGTTCCTGGTGCCAGTATTGCGAGTAAGGGAAACTGGAAGTGAACCTTGTGGCTTCACAGCCGGTTTCCTTCTTATGAATAAACAGTTTTAAATTTGTTTTTCACATCTACAGTGGGTATAGAAAATAATCATCCCCCTTTAAAATAATCACATTCTGTTGATTTGTAGCCTGAAATGAACATAGACAGTTATTGTTTTATCCAGCTATATTTACTCAGTGCACCTTGTAACATCCAAGTGAAAGATATAACACTGACATGTCAGGAAAAAAAAAAAAAACCAAGCAAACACAGAGTTGGAAAAAAAGGATCACCCCTCCCCAAAATTACCTGTAAACTACATCAGGTGTAACTAATCACCTTCTCAATGGCACACAAAGCCATTTGACTTTCAAATGTGGTCATTTTGACTAGTTCAGCCTGAAAACCGCTTTCCTGGAGCATTTCAGTCCCTGGAAGTGTAACTGAAGCAAACAATCAACTATGGGTGGCAAGGCACTGTCAAAAGATCTCCAGGATAAAGTTGTGGACAGGAACAAGTCAGGAGATGGATACAAAAAAAAAAAAAAAATCAAAGGCTTTATCAATGTGTAGAAGCACAGTGAAGTCTATTATTAAAAAATGGAAGGTATTTGGTACAACACAGACCTTCTCTGATCAGGACATCACTGCAAACTGGTTGAAAGAGCCAGGAGGAAACTCGTCAGAGATGCTACCAAGAGGCCTACAGCAACTCTGAAGCAGTGGCATAATTTATGACAAAGAGCAGTCACTGTGTGCATTTGACAATATCACAAATTCTCCACAATAGTAGCTTGCATGGGAGGGTTGCAAGAAAAAAAGCCACTCCTGAAGAAAGGCCACATGCAGTCAAGAATGAGCTTTGCCAAAAAGCCCCATGATGATTCTGCGGCCACATGGAAAAAAGTGTTATAGTAAGATTAGACTAAAATTGATTAATCTGGCCTCAACCTAAAATGATATGTCAGGTGGAAATACAACACAGTTCACCATCCAAATAACACCATTCCTAAAGTAAAGCATGGAGGTGGTAATATCCTGTTATGGGGGTGTTTGTCTGCAGCGGGGACTGGAAAACTTGTCAGAATAGAAGAAAAATGGATGGGGCAACATACTGTCAAAGAAAATCTGCTGCTCTTTGACAGAAAGTTGGAAGGTAAACCTTCTTCCTATTGACAACGACCCAAACCACAAAATAAAAATGACTAGACAGAGGTTGAAAGAAAAGGTTGAGTGTGCTTGCATGGCCTACTCAGAGCCCAGACCTAAACCCCATTGAAAATCTGTGGAAAGACTGCACTATACAAATTGTCACCATCAGATTTAACTAAACTTGAGCAGTTCTGCAAAGAAGAGTGTGCAAATATTGCAAAGCCTAGATGTGCAAAGTTAGTAGAGATGTATCTCAACAGACTAAAGGCTGTAATTAAAGCAAAAGGTAGTTCAACAAAATACTCACAGAAGGGGGTGATCCTTTTTCCAACTAAGTGATTCTGTCTTTGAATTTTTTTTTAATTGTTTCTGATATGTTGGTGTTATAGCTCCACTCAGCTGGATTAAACAAAAATGGTCTATCTGCATTTCAGGCTACAAAGCAACAAAATGTGATTTTAAAAGGGGCGCGATTCTTTTCTAAGCACACTGTATGTTCATCAATCATAAAGGTGGACATTCAGCCCACTTCAACTGTCTAAAAAGAAGTGTAAAATCTAAAATTTCCCATTTGAGCTTTAAATGTTCAATGTAACCTGCCCCTAAATTAGTCTTTTTGGTATCCCACCACAGGCAACAAATGGGTTGCACTCAGTATCTTGAACATATATATATAAATACTAATTACAGTTTCTCTTAAAAGAACACCGATTCCCTAAGTGACTCTGAAGAACTTGTATAAGAAAAAAGAAAGTACATTTATTTTTAGCTGGAAGAGATTTTAATTATCTTTCTAAAGCACACGTTATTGCCTAGTTTTAAAGACACACATACTGCAAGCTAGAGCAATTACACACTGCACTGAAATCTCCAGCTGGTTACATCTTAGGCTTTTAATGGTACACTTATATGCTTAGCTTTTCTAAGGATGTGTGGTGTATATCCAACAATGCATCAATTCTAGAACTTGCAGCAGAATACATCACAGAAAAATTTTGCAACAGCACTTCAGGTGCAGCAATATCTCAGTTTCAATCATTTAATCTCATACAAAGTTCTTTGCTCAAGTGCATTTGTACACAGTATACTGTATGTATGTACATTATATTTGAGGAAGAGAATGTAAAATCCCTTCACCCACTGTGCACAAAAAGATAGACTACAGAGACTGGTTATTATAAATGATGGTTTCAATTAACAAACCCTTTTGACAGAAAAAGAAGTATTGTACCCATTGTATTCATAACTTAACTGTATATTGCTCGTTTTGTAAACTGTATTTCCACCTTTACAGCTATATTGGGATAATACTTTATTTTTTTGTCCCCATTTATAGAGCATGACTTAAAAAATGATTACAAATTGCAGCTTACCTTCCTTTAGATGCGCTTTTCTGGAACTGCCAGTAAGGAAAAATTTAGCTTAGTTCTCTGTTCTTTGTTATGGGTGGAGAAGCTGTATTTGTCATATATTATGTAATTATTTGAATAAGATTTGAATACCGTCTAAACAAAGGGTCAAAAGGTTTAGGAGCTTGGATTCTCCACTGTATATTAATGAGAACTGGAATTAGCCAGTCTATTAGACAGATCACACCTAGCTAGTTGACAAATTCTTTAGTCTGCCATAACACCCTCTCCTCAGACATCTCTAAAAAGATAAAATTTTTTTAGGAATGCTTTGTGAATAGGAATAAAAAACAAACAAACAAGGAGTGGGTTTTTCTCAAATTTGACGGCAAAAGAGTAAATATATTTTAAAACCCCAAAAAATATAGTGCCTCATTCTGCTCTGCACATGCTCAGTTGCCCTCTAAATTTCAGCAATGTGCCAAAAATGTAGAGGCCAATCTGCTGACAGCCTAAAGACTTACGGCTGCTCAGGGGTTTCAGCAAAATGGCAGAAACAGGAACAATGCCGGAGTCAATTTACAACACACACTAATTTTGGCAGCATAAGTAATAATGTTGAATGTATGTTCCTTGCTAAAGAATCCAGATATCACCTGTAAAAGTAGCAATGACATCATCACTGTGCTCCAGAAAGTCTGTGCAGAGAGAAGAGCTGCAAGAGGGACCCAGAAAGTCCCACCCAGTACAGGCTGCCTGTAAAGGATTACAAGTGGGGATGGAGACAAGACCAGTTACCCTGCACAAGGATAGAGGACAGCAGGGATTGGCCTTTATTACAGGAATCTCCTGCTCACAGGTTATGTTTCACACTGGATTAATATATCTATCTTGCATCTGAACAGTGTTTAGGGATACTGTGTAAGATAGTCTATTTTTTTGGCCAGCAGTGGCTGTAATAAGCTATATGTCACTAGGCATGGCCCTACAGTGAACACTGGAACAAGGAGAAGGTTAAGGTTGTGCTGTTCAACTTTTTCTTTTTCCTGTATACCCAACCAAAATCACACTAACATGGCAGGTGTGAATGATGTTCAGTGATTATGAAAAACTACTTAGAGCTAAAACTTTTTTTCAGGAGACAGAAAGAAGCCTGAAATGTGTTTAAGAAATGGCTCCCCTGCTTCTTGCTGCACTTAGTGGTTCTCAGTTTACCAAAAGTAGTTTAGTGTCGTAAACTGCTGCTCTAGAGCAATGTCTGTATACAAAAAAGAATTACTGGGCAGGTAGCTTGTGTCCCTGGTATTCAACTCAAGGTTTCATTTTCAATTCTGATCATAGAACACTTGGATATGCTGGAAATAAAACTGCACAAATATGTTGGAATCCCAGACAGCAAGTCAAAAAGTTTCTGATGAAACCAGAAAATGAATGTATAAACAAGGATACGGTCATTACCCTTGAAGAGTGGACGTCCAGTATACATTTCTGCCATGATACAGCCAACAGACCATATGTCCACTATAAAAAGAGAAAACAAAAAAAACCAAACAAAACACACACAAAATGGTTAGTTGACTGATGCGGTACATTATTATACAAGTAAATTTTTAATTGCAAATAAAAGGGGCTACAAAACTGAGTAACACCAAACAAAATAAAAAAGAATAGAATATATGCATAATGTACATATGCACATTTAGTAGGCAAAATTAAGAAAAAGTCAATGAACCTACCAAAACATGGACTATACGTGGGAAAAAAAAAAAAAAAAAAAAAAAAAAAAAAAAAACTTAAAGCAAAGAAGAATTCCATTCAAGCATGGTGAGATCATAAATGCTATGAAAATGGCACCTTTATTAGGAGACATATCTAGAACCTCAGTACTACAAGCATTGCCTAAACAATTATGGACCAATTCAAACAGAAAGTCGCCAATTTTACTCTGTACAAGGTTTCTACTACCCACATTTCCTCTAAAGGCCACACTCGTAAAAAACTATTTCCTAATGTTCAATAATGTGGTTGTAAAGCCTTAAGGTTTTTTACCTCATTCTATTCTAGGCATTAGGGTAAAAAAATCTTCAGGATTTTTAGAAATAGCATTAAGTAATAGAATAAAAATATTAAAACCTACTTCCTCACTGTGAAATTTGGGCTGGCTTTTTTTCTGCATAGATGCTCAATTTTGGGTCGAAATTGGGATATGCACATATGAATTTCAACTGAAACTAAACAGGGGTGTCACCAAGGCAGAGCACAGGAGGGTCACCAGGTCAAGTCACAGAAGGGTACCAGGTCGGGGCGCAGGGGTGTCAGCAGGTCAGGGCGCAGGGGTGTCAGCAGGTCGGGGCACAGGGGTGTCAGCAGGGCAGAACACAGGGGTCACCAGGTCAAGGCACGGGGGGGGGGGGGTTCACCAGGGCAGAACAGAGGGGTCACCAGATCAGAACACAGAGGAGTCACCGGGTCATGGGCATGGGGGGGGGGGGTCAACAGGGCAGGGCACAGGGGTGTCACGGGAGCAGGGCACGGGGGGTGGGCGGGGGGGAATCACCAGGTCAAGGCACGGGCGGGGGGTGTTTTACCAGGTAAGAACACGGGGGGGAGGGATATCACCAGGTCAGGGCACAGGGAGGATATTACAAGGTCAGGGATGGGGGGGGGGATCACTAGGGCAGACCACAGGGGATTCAGCAGGTCAGGGCACAGGGGAGTTCAACAAGTCAAGGCACAGAGGGGTCACCAGGGTAGGGTGCAAGGGTGTTAAAAGGGCAGAGCACAGGAGGGTCACCAGGTCAGGGCATGGGGGGTCTGTATTACTGTTTAATTTCTTCCTCATGCAGAGCTGCTCAGGGCAGTTGCTGGTACATGTCGGTTTTGGCACACTGATCACCGCCAGCTCTCCTCTCTCATCCATCCCAGGTGATGTCAAGTGCCTGGGATGGACATAAGAGGAGAGCTGGAGGAGATCAGTGAAGTACAGATAGGATTAGTAGCAGTACAGGTACTGTATGCTGCACTGTCAGTGCACATTGAATTCACCATTGGGTAGATATACATCCACCACAATGGTGAATTGTGATGGAACCCCTGGGGACTTTTCGCGGAAACCCCAGTTGAGAAACACTGCCTTAGATCATACCAGGTTGGAACAGTGGAGAGAAATTCCCTGGGATATTTTGAAACAGGACATAAAGGAGGGAAGAACAAATATCCTAGAAAAGACAGAAGAAAGAGAAAACCACCATAGGGGCAAGGAGGCTTTAGGCCTCAGGACAACCTTGTCCTTGTACAGCACTACTAAAGGCTCTACAAGATAAGGCAGCTAACTAAGAGATCCGCTTAATAAAAAGGTGATAGTAAGTGAGGTTGTATAAAGGAATAGCCTTGATGGCTTAAAAGGGTGACTTCTGTTTAAGATCCCGGGGGAGCAATAAGTGAAACCCTGCAACACCCTGCCTAAAGGCCTTAACTAAGAAAAGAGAGGCCAATGTTTTTCTAAATAGAATGGCCAAGGTCAAGATTCACTTCTTGATGGTACTCAAGGCCAAATGCAGGGCCTGACTAGACTGGGGAAAGGATGCATCCCACGAAGAACGTTTTAGAATATTTCCTCACCTTGCAACATAGGCCTTCTAGGTGCAATGGTAGAATTTACAAGAAGTTGACTCTCCAGCCTTCAAGAGGGTAGCAATAACCAAAACCATTAGGCCTCTGTCTTTCAGGACCTGGACTCCAACTGTTATGACATAAAAGCTAGAGACCAAGAAACAGGTTGGTGGACACCTCCTGGTGGAGAGCCCATTTTCCTGTATCCAGTCACAGAAGATCAAGGAAGTCTGCATGCCAATTTCCCACTACTTGGATGTAGACAGCAGATAGGGCAGCAACAGGCAGTTCTGCCAAAGGGGTACAGGTTGAGATGAGCAACATGACTTCAGGGGACCTCACAGCCAAGAAGTCCAGTGTTGAAGGGACAATTGAATTTCCTTCATTTCAGGATGTAGATTGAACACTAGCTTCCTCCAAAGTCCCCTGCACCAAGAGGGCATCTAGGACAAGCTGGCATCTGTCCTAAGTAGCTTTCTACTTCTTTAGAGGAAAGGGGTTTCTGACTGCAGCTTGCAAGTCAGTTTGTCCCATACAATCAAAATGTCTAGTTGCAACAGTCTGGAGTGAAAATGGGTGTATTGCTGTCTTGAGGTAAGCTATCATTAGGCCCAAGGCTCTCATGCAGGCACAAAATGTGGACTTGATCTGGGTTTATAAGGTCTGAGCACATAAGCAGAGGGACAGGTGTTTGACCCAGGGAAGGAAAATTCCATATCCAATATCAAGCCCAGGTAGACCAATGAACAAGTCAGGTCTAGCGATGACTTCTGGAGGTTGAGGAACACTGCCTGTAAATCTCTGCAGAGTCTGCACTGTCCTTTGGACATTGGCTGATAGGTTTGGGTGAACTAGTTTTTGAAGGAGGAGCTTGTTCTAGTATCCTAGAACATGGATGGGGTTGAGGAGATGAGGATGTGAAAGCAAGCATCCCTGATGTCCAGAGAGGCCAGATCTGCTTGTAAAAAGGGATGCAATGATTGACCTATCCAATGCACAACTTTGGACTTCCGGGAACAAGTTCAGTTTTCAGATACAGAAAGAGTTGACTGCCTCCGTTTACCTGAACTGGTTCTATTTGAAACCTTAGGTTCGTTCCCCTTCTAGAATTGGGGTAACAAACTCCTGTGAAATGGTCATTGAGTGGAGATCCATCTCTCTTAGTGGTGAAGATAGCAAATTTGAAAGTATGAAGTATGGAGGAGGCAGTATCCAAAATTTTTAGTTTGAAGCCCCCGATACGGACTCTGGACCCAAAAGGTCTGGGATATCTTGGCACCAGATGGCATGATAGACATCCCCCAGACGTCTCTGACAAGTGAGGGCACCCTTTCATTGGAAAGAGGGCTTGGACCCAGACTTGGCTGGTATGGAGGTTCTGGTCTTCCAATGGCAGTGTGCTCTAGTCTAGGACTTTGAGCTTGAGGCCAGAGAAGGGTGGAAAGGAACTGTTCCTAGTCTTAGGTGCTGACAACCTACCTGCAGGAGTGCAATCCCTCTTTTAGGCATCAACGTAGTAGTGTAAAGCCACAGGTAAATGCTCCAGGTGGTCCTGAACAGAGGAATCCATTAAAATGGAGCCAGGGTCTTGGGTCATGTGCTTAATCTGGACAGCAATGGCCTGGCCATGATTAAAACAGAAGATTGGTGTTACCTGCCAGAGACAACAGGGCCTTAAAGAGGGCAGCCAACCTATTGTCCATTGGGTCAAAGGTCAGCTGTGTCCAGGCTCAGACATTGGTCCCTAACCACAGGTAACCACATTGTGTACAGCTACATGCAAAACAGCTGCTATTCATGTGCCCCGGTCATTCCAGCTGCAATCTGCTGATTCTTCCCACCAGAAACTGGTGGCTGCACGTAGATGTGGCCTTAAAGTGCTTCTTATGCTTAGCATTATCATGGGAAAAAAAATATCCGCCAACCTGCTTACAAACAAATTGTTTTAAATGTTTAAGGATTACATTTTTATACTGTGTCACCAGCAAGTTTACAGGTGTTGCAGCAATTTCATCCGTACAACCACATCGATTGTGTTATGTTCTGTGTACTGCCGTTTTCAGAGAACACAACAAGGGGCATCAGTTTTGTGTGTTTTATTTCTGCACACAGATAAAAGACTATTTTGCTACATTTCAATAAAAGAATAAAAACTCTTGTTGTGGGAGTGAAATAGAAGTGTTTGTAGGCGTGTTCTTCAAAAATGGAGTTATTGTGAGCTTATGCATAATAGAGATAATAAGGCAGCTGCGGCAGGAGTTGTGCCGAGGGCATAGAACAAGGTTACAGTAGCAATAGACATACTGTGTATGTCACGGCGGGAAGTGAGGAACCATACACTGATGCATATTTATGTAGGAATTCACATTACATACCTGAATAATGCTTTTAAGTGGTGGCCCACCTGTTGTTTATGTTGTCAAGATTATATAATAGGCCGCAAAAAATTTCATATATATTACATGCAGCACAACCCCAGTTCAATATAGTTACTTTAGCTTCACTATTCATGTAACTGTACTGCCTTATATAATGCTTTGAGCATTTGTTTGCCTTATTTATTAAACAGAATTTCCATCAGTTCATTAGGTTACCATTATGCTGCTATACCTTCATATTGTCTTTATTCAGTGCACATGCTGGGAGTTATGTTAGTCATCATTCTATTCAGCAACTATTATTTCTTTAAAACAAATTTCTCCTGACACAAGCAATCTGCAAAGAGGAACATTAATTGCTACTATTACATTTAGTTTCTAGTTTAACACACGGAGAACTGTGTCAAATGAAGTGAAATGCATTGTTTTAGTCAAACAAACCATTGGTAGCGGCTTATTAAAAATTCAGTTCAAATGTTTTGATTGCTTTTCTTTAATGCGTGTGAAGTTTTAAGTGTTACTAAAAACCTTGAAAACTCTTTCATCTATCAAAATCTCTTCTAATTTCCATTTAAAGATCATGCAGTTGGCCTTTAAGAAAGGCCAATGGGAATCTGCATTGTATGCTCAACTTGGCTCACATGAATGTTTCTCCCTGTATCTCTTTTTGTGGTAGATGCAAATGGGATCATGGGGATCTTATCCACATGCTGTGGCGTTGCCCAAAACTTCACTGGTACTGGGAGGCGTTAGTCAACCATCTTAACTCAGTGTCCCAAACTACCCTAACTCTAGACCCTAAACAATGCCTTTTGGAAATTTAAGACAGGTTACCGAAGACACCTTCCTGCTATAAGGCCTCTCTAACACCCTGTTTCAGGCACGCAAGACTATTCTTATGATTTGGAAATAGGAAGTTCCCCCTGCTCCGGAGTACTTGAGATAGAATATGGGAACCATTCTGTGATGTGATCGCTTAATTTACCAACACTGTGGGTGCCCAGGCAAATTTGAGAAACTTTGGGAAGAATGGCCACTCTGAGTCTTGCCCCATTTGGTAATGGGCACAGATTGTTGTAGCTACCTTATGCCCGCTGCCTTTAAAACCTGCCTATAATTTTTGGATTGTCACACAGGATGATTTTATGCACTATACAGCACAAATGCTGGAGTGAGTTCTACTGACTTAAATGTGGTGATTTATACGTGACTTTGCTGCATAATATCGCTACGCTTTTTGTACACTAGATGACTGGTAATACTGGAAATTCTTTTTTCTCTTGTTCCTTTCTTCTTGCTTTAATTTTGATTGTGTGCACCAAATGTATGTCTTAAACACTAATAAATGATACTTTTGATCTAAAATTTAAAAAAAAAGGAACAGGCAGTTGTTTTACTAAAGAAGTACAGAATGTTAACTTAGCAAAGTGAATGTCCAAACTGCAAAGTGTATGCACACTTAGCTTCATAAATAAGGGGACACAGTGTTCACAATGAACATCTAATTATGTGCATGCAAATATTACTTTTCTGCACATAATTGGATATTTGGATATTCAGGTGTAAGTTCATTAAAACACAATATAGGGGGCCTTTACACAACATAGCTCTTCATCATGTTTGAAGTTCTAGAAGTGCATGTTTATTAACATTTGTACTGCTCTTCTCTGAGAAGAGAAGTGAATGAAATATGCGGTGAAAGGCTGACCTGACACGGACAGTGTTTCCAGGATGACTGCCCAACCCCTCACCCCCATACATGTGCTGAAGTGACATCACGCACTGGCCAATCAAGATGGCAGAAGACTGGCACCAGGAACAAGCTGGGGAGAAAATGCTGACACCAGACTTCACAGGCGTTGGACCATTAAAGAATAGTGGAGTATCCCTGGTTTTAGGTCCACTTTAATTCATTAGTCAGTTAAAACGTGTTACTAAACCCAGGGCCCTGAATTCACTGTATCTGGTCTCCCACAGTACACACTACATGGAAATACAATTATTTTAGTGAATATAAACAGCCAAATACCTTCCCTAATGAGCAGTTAGAGCAGTATTGTGACGTCTATCAGTGTCCAGCAGAGCACATGTTAAAGCTTGTAGGAGTTTTCTGTTACAGGAGGATGCACAGCCCTTGACCTGTCTGGACAGTGCTGATTGGCCCTGTGCTGATCACATGCACTCTACCAAGGAAAAAGGTAAACAAAAAAAAAAAAAAGAAGACCTCTCTAGCAATACACACTAAACTGAGCATGTGCAGTATCTCCACATGATATGTCTTATCAGGAGATAAGAGGGAGACACTGGAAGGGGAGGATCAGAGAAGTCAGGATCAAACAGCCTTTTTAAACAATGCAGAGGATTAACCCCTTAGGTTCCACAGTGAGTATCACAAGCATGCTTTACTGCATATACAGACTGATTTTACAGTTGTGGGTTTAGTAACACTAAATAAAGTCCATCAAACACTACCCTCTCCATGCAAAAAAAATGCAGCTGTCCAAGGGTGGTTATACTGCCTCTCGATAAATACAGTGGCGGAGTGAGCATAGCCACCCTTGGACAGGACGAGTGTTGTCACCAGTAGAAGAAAAGAAAAAAAAAAAAAAAAGAAGAAAAGTTTAAAAAAAGAAAAATGAATGCAGCCAACATATCTAAGGATTGGTAAGCCACAATATATTACATTTATGCTTTAATGTTAACCATGATTTGGAATTTCTTGATGTCCTCTTAACAGCTGTTTCTATCGGTATACACTCTGACAGGCCCTGTCCTCTGAAATTAGTTTTATTATATACCTTTGATCATGCTAAAAGGAAGCTATTACTGGCTTGGCTTGTCTTTGGTAGATGAAGCCCTTGAGAGCAAAGATTTTTTCCTACAGCCCTGTACTTACAGCAAAATGCAGATGGGGCTGCCATGGTGTTCTAAATCCCTTGAAGTGTATGTAAATTATAACAGTGAACTTCTCTCATCTGCTCTCTTTGGTCTGTTCAATATGCCACTTAAAGTGTTTTCTTGAGAAGTGAAAGGGAGATGGGGAGAAGTCTGTATTCTTTGCAAACCATCAGAAATAAAGTAGACAGGGCTGACACCTCGAACTTAGAAATTTAAAGCTGTGTTATGTCAAAGAGAAAGGTAGGAGTACACTATATTTCTGTTCTTCAAAAGTTCAGTAAACAGTTATTTTTTGTACTTGCAGCATCTTTGATGAGATAAAACATGGGGAAAATGTGCATTTATGAAATAGGTTTTCTTATATAGTGTCTTGACATATGCTTTAAGAGAAACAAAATAAAAAATCTGCAGTAAACACTGGATCTGCCCTGGACAGATTAAACTTTTTTTTTAGTAAGGTATGCCATTATATACAGCAATAATGATAGGTAGCGGAGTCATAGCACAGCATGTAACAGAGCATCAGAGACACAATGCACCGTCAAGGTTCTGGACACCCTTCCAGGATCGGTGAACTGATAGTACAGCACATGACAACAAACATGCCAACAAGGATGCCCACGTTTATCATAGATCAGTTGTCAGAACTTGGGCCTTACAGGCCTACAAAAAGTTTGCATTCTGTAAACTTATAAATTTTATGTGATTTAAATTAAGGTTGAAATGACCTTTCCGAAAAAGCAAGGGAATTAATTTATGCATGTAATACTTACTAGAAAAAGCCAGCAGAGGAAATGTTAGCCTCATCAAGAACAGAATTCTGTTTTTTAGAGGTTTGGTGGGAGGGGAATGGAGATGAGGGAGTCAAGAAATAGGAAAACATATATAACTGATGGTTTACTTCTCTAACGTACTCACACTTACAATCTTACAAATCAACATATAATACATGATAAAGGATTCCTATAACGTAGAAGAGACAGAACTATAGGAGTGATTTTCTTTCAGGCACTCTGTGGTGGACTTGCTAAAGGCAAATAAAATAGGCTACTCATTTTACAAAGGAATTTTTAGCTGGGTGAATGAGATGTAGTTCTGTTTCCTTCTGTTATTCAGTCATGTGCAAGTATTTTTTTTTTTTTTTTTTTTTTCTTGCACATGATTAGATACAGAATGGGAGTCACTAGTCTAGCTTGTTAGGCTTTTTAGAGAGAAATACAGAAACATCTGAAAGGTGCCCAAAAGCACTAACTGTTGGTCGGACAGAATACAAACTATTAAGCTGCAATAATTCACATTCACTACAATTTCATGTGATTGATGGGAACTGCAGTTTCCTTTTACTGCAAAGAGAAGAGAAGACTATTTATTCCCTGCTTTTACACCTCCTCCTTGGCAGAGCAGATGCTGTTATCTTTTGAATTACAAATTAATTCAACTTTAATTAAACTTTTCTACTAAATGGTAAGGATTTTCAAAATTGTATTAATGGTTTAGTGTTTTGTGTGGAGGGGTGTACTAATGGGTGATTTTTGCCTATCCAGGAGTTCTTCTTTAATTATCTACATTACATGCTGCTCAACAATCTCCTGCAAACACTAGACCAGCAATGGGCAAACTACGGCCCGCGGGCCGTATACGGCCCGGCGGACCTTTTAATCCGGCCCGCGGAGCGTGATACTGTTAGGATGGCTGTCAGGATGTGTATAGGCGGGGCAGCGTGACGAACGCGAGGGGGAGCTAGGCTCCTCTCACAGTCCGCCCTGAAGACCGGTGTAGAATGAAAATCTGTCTCCTATGAGGATCTGTCCCCCTCGACGTATCTGCGCATGTGCCGGAGATCGCCGATCGGCTGCTAATGCCTGAAACTGGCACATGCGCAGATACGTCGAGGAGGACAGATCCTCATAGGAGACAGATTTTCAATCTACACCGGAACGGCGCGGGAACACGGCGAGAGGAACGCGCGGGTAGCAAAGGTAAGTGAATTGACACAGGGGGGGGGGATTAATATATAGGGGGGATGAATTACTAAGGGGGGATGAATTACTATAGGGGGGATGAATTACTATAGGGGGGATGAATTACTATATGGGGGGTGAATTACTATATGGGGGGTGAATTATACTATATGGGGGGTGAATTACTATATGGGGGGAAATTACTATATGGGGGGGAATGAATTACTTACTATATGGGGGATGAATTACTATGCTTACTATGGGGGAATATTACTATATACTTACTATGGATGACACATACACATCATTCATCTACTCTTGGTCCGGCCCCCGGGTCCAATATATGAACCCATTGCGGCCCTCAAGTCAAAAAGTTTGCCCACCCCTGCACTAGACCATGTACGCCTGGCCTCAGAACAGAAAACTAATTTACTGCCAAGGTACTGATAACATTCATCAGAAAAAAAAAAAAAAAAGACTAAACACATTTTTAATCCAGCTAGTAAAGTGATTTTATGAATACATTAGTAATCTATAAAAGGCTTGTTTAAAAACAAAACAAAAAAAAAAATCATGCAGTACAACAGGCAACCGTGTAATAGCACTAGCCCAAACACCATACCTGTCTGTGTATAATGCATCCAATTAAGTATCACCTCTGGGGCTCTGTACCATCTGGTCACCACATAACCTGTCATTTCACTGTCTGTATGCCTTGCCAGTCCAAAATCCAGGATCTGTGAACATATGTGAGTAATAATTTTCAGGACCCCAGCCAACAGTTTAGTGTAGGAGGATGCATTAGCTTAAAACAAGAAGAGCTTGAGAACAGTGACGCAGGACATGAACAAGATGTAAGCTAATCAGCTGATCTAGATTTTCATTAGCTTCACCAAGCATATACCCTAGAGCTATACACATTTTTCACAATTTGTACATATATTAAAACAAATAGAAAAGCTTTTCCCCAGCTAGATTATTACCACATATCTTGTGAGAAGAACTCGAAGATTTTTTTTTTTAAATGTGCTGCATAATAACAAAAACTATGTTTCTCTGTGAGTGGACCTAGGGAGAGGAGAGTGGATAAAAGATAATGCGCAGCTTCCATGTATGAAATCCACTGCTCTCTCACAGCAGGCTGGAAGGATAGCATGAGCTACTTTATCCAGGCTGAACCAAAATGTAAACAAAGAAAATACAATGCTCCAGGAAATGGCATACACCTAATTAGTGTTGTCTTGAGAGTACACAACCAATTTTAAAAACAAACATTTTAGTGGTGCACTAAAATGAAAATTCTGGTGCCGAAACCGAAAATTCAGAATGCACTTGGCTGAAAACCAAAACCGAAAATGTCTGCGTATGTGGGGGTGCTCAATTTTTTTTTTACTTTTACCGTGTGTTTATTTTTTTACCTTTTTATTTATTTTTTTTTAATGCTATCACATAGGGGACCAATAGTCCCCTATGTGACAGCATATAAGTGACAGGTCTTCTTTGTAGGGGTAGGGGGGCAGTGTGTGCAAGGAGAGGGCAGGAGAGGAGCAGTGTATACAGTGAGGGAGCAGTGTATACAGACAGGCTACTTCACTTGCTGGCACTAAAATGTCATTGCTAGTTTTTAAATGCAATTGCCAGCTTTTGCTCTTCGCTTTGTTTTGGTCACACTTTTCTTCTGGGTCACAGGAGAGCTTACTTTTGCACTCCTGTGACCCAGAATCAGACGATTGGCTAATGTCACAGAGCCACTCCAGGCTCTGGAAGAAACCCAACCATATTGTTGGGATCTACCTAGCTGCCTCACAGCTGGCTCCAGCTCTCAGAGCTTGGGTGAGAGCCGAAGCAAACTGCGCCTGCCCCCTCTCCTGCCCAGAGCTCCAGTAAGTGCTAGAGGGAAAAGCAGAGAGCAGCGACTGACAGTCACCACTCTCTTCACACAGCTAACCAAGATCTGTGCAATCAGGGGTCATGTGATCGCCCAGTTCTCAGTGTTTAGTGCCAGGTGCCAGCTGCAGCATCACACCAATGCTGCATCATAGAGGCAAGTATGTATGTTTATTTATTTCTTTTACACACCCCAAACTTTTCCTTTAATGAACATGAAAAATGCAGGCACGTTTCTCCTTGTCCTCCACCAGATTAAACCAGCAGGCTCTCTTCTACAAATCTGAGAATATCATTATAGTATCTTTACAAAGGCAACATAAAATTGCAATACAAGATCTTTCTAAACTATTTTAGCCAATTCATACATTCGTTCTTCCAACAGGGTTTCAAGCCATACATACAATGTCAGGCTGTGTAGATGAGGCTTTAGGGGCTGGAGATGTGTCATTCTGGGAAAGTGAAAAATTTGGAGTCCTCGAGCAGCCTTGTACGTAGCCACACAATTTCAATCACTTTTAACCAGTTTTCAATTGCAAGAACAGCTAAATATATTAAGGAAGCCTACCAAACATCACTTTAGATTATTTAACAGTGTTGAAAGAACTGTTGGTGTGAAACATTCCCTTTGTGACTGGGGGCAGATTTAATTGTAAAATCAAAATATAGAACATTTTTTTAGCAAGATCCTCTTCACTAAACTAACCAGACTATGTTTCCATACCTTTAACTCACAATCTTCGTTCACAGCCAGATTTCCAGGCTTCAGGTCCTGCAGATGAATACACAACACAGACATATCTGTTACGTTAGTCATGGATAACGTTGTGCAACGTAAGCCACTGAAACACCCAGTATACCCAGGTCACATTTTTATCTAGGAGTGGCCTTGATTACTGCAAGCAAACCTGGTTTGGTTTCCCCCTATGACAATCATGCCATGCGTGATAGCAGGTTCCAATGAGGAAAAAGAAAAGACTGCAATGCAGCTGTCACATGTTGGTCTTCTAAAATTATAATCAGGTTATGTTTTTGGCTATTTGGGTATGACGGTGCCCAGAGGAGTTCTTTAATTGTAATACTTTATTAAAAACCCTTACTGAGTGCCCCCAACCAAAATTGTTTTTAAACAGATTCAAATCTGACCCTATATATAAAGAGATGAGGCTCATACCTTCCCTGGACATCTATATTAACTTGAAACTAGGTTACCTCGTTACCAGTTAAGAGACATTTATACAGGGAATTAATAGCATTGCTATCCCTCTGTGGAAAACTCAAGTGTAAGAATTGATGTCAGGGAAACTGTTACAAAACCCATTTGGCTTTTGATTCAGAACATACAATTAAGGCAATTAAAAAGTTACCAAGGCTGAACTGGTGCTAAGCAGTCACTTGAGGTGACATCCTCCCACAACAAAGAGTATGGTGTGTGAAGGAAAAGACTATTAAAAACTGAAGCAAGTCCAGCTTATTCTGGGTATGCCTTCTTAAAGAAGAACAAAAGGGATCATTACTGTCAGACAGTGAATCAAATCCTATTGGGGATGCAAATCAAGCCTGCACAGGGACGCAGGGCCTGAAACAAGAAGCATATTTCAATGAGCCTCCACAAAAAAAACAACGCCAAAATATTTTTAAGTAAAAGCAGTAAACTAGAAATGGAAAAATTTTTTTTCACAACTGAAATGTTCAATACTTACCCTATGGATGATACCAGCTGAATGGATGTACTGAAATGAAAATGTGAAAGGGAACAGTTATTACTATGCATCTGTAGTTCGGATTAAGTCACGTAAAAAAAAAAAAAAAGAAATTAAAAATAAGGTAAGGTAGAACAAGTAAACTTCCATTTATAGCAGTGGTCTCCAGACTGCATTCTGTGGACCAAATGAAGTCCTTTGCATGCTTTTACCTGGTCCAGATACTAATTCTCCCACTGATATAAGGCACTATTCATCCCACCGACACCAACAATGTATAACCATTCCTTTCGATAACACAAACAGTGGGGCACTATTCCACCCACTAGCCTCAATGATGGGACACTATTCCTCCCATTACCACCAATGATCAATGATGGGGCACTATTCCCTCCCACTGACACCAATGATGGTATCAGTGGGAAGAATAGTGCCCCATCATTGGTGTCAGTGGGGGGAATAGTGCCCCATCATTGGTATCAGTGGCAGGAATAGTGCCCTATAATTGGTGGTAATGGGAGAAATAGTGTCCCATCTTTGATCTTAGTGGATGGAATAGTGCCACACTGTTGGTGCACTATTCTTCCCACTGATACCATTGATGACACAAACAGTGTGGCACTATTCCTCCCACTATCATCAATGATGGGACACTATTCTTCCCACTGATACCATTGATGACACAAACAGTGTGGCACTATTCCTCCCACTATCATCAATGATGGGACACTATTCTTCCCACTGATACCATTGATGACACAATCATTGGTGTCAGTGGGGGGAATAGTGCCCCATCACTGGTATCAGTGGGAAGAATAGTGCCCCATCATTGGTGTCAGTAGGAAGAATAGTGTCTCATCATTGATGATAGTGGGAGGAATAGTGCCACACTGTTTGTGTCATCAATGGTATCAGTGGGAAGAATAGTGTCCCATTGATGACACATTGTGGCACTATTCCTTCCAATGATGAGACACTATGATACAATGATGGGACACTATTCCTCCCACTGATACCAATGATGGACACTATTCTTCCCACTGATACCAATGATGGGGCACTATTCTTCCCACTGATACCAATGATGGGGCACTATTCTTCCCACTGATACCAATGATGGGGCACTATTCTTCCCACTGATACCAATGATGGGGCACTATTCTTCCCACTGATACCAATGATGGGGCACTATTCTTCCCACTGATACCAATGATGGGGCACTATTCTTCCCACTGAGTACCATTGATGACACAGTGTGGCACTATTCCTCCCACTAAGATCAAAGATGGGGCACTATTTCACCCATTACCACCAATTATAGGGCAATATTCCTCCCATTACCACCAATGATGGGGCACTATTCCTTCCACTGATATCAATGATGGGGCACTATTACCCCCCACTGACACCAATGATGGGGCACTATTCTTCCCACTGATACCATTGATGAGACAAACAGTGGGGCACTATTCCTCCCACTATCATCAATGATGGGACACTTTTCTTCCTACTGATACCAATGACTGGGCACTATTCTTCCCACTGTTACCAATGACGACACAAACATTGGGGCATTATTCCTCCCACTAACATCAATGATGGGACACTTTCTCCCATTACCATCAATTATAGGGCACTATTCCTGCTACAGATACCAATGATGGGCCACTATTCCCCCCACTAACATCAATGATGGGACACTTTTCCTCCCATTACCACCAATTATAAGGCACTGTTCCTGCCACTGATACCAATGATGATACAAACAGTGGGGCACTATTCCTCCCACTGACATCAATTATGGGACACTATTTCTCCCATTACCACCAATTATAGGGCACTATTCCTGCCACTGATACCAATGATGGGTCACTATTCCCCCCACTAACATCAATGATGGGACACTATTCCTCCCATTACCACCAATTATAGGGCACTATTCCTGCCACCGAGATCAATGATGGGGCACTATTCCTCCACTAATACCAATGATTTAGCACTAGTCCTCCCAGCGACACCAATGATGGGGCACTATTCCGCCCACTAATACCAATGATGGGGCACTATTCCTCCTTCTGACACCAATGATGGGGCACTATTCCTCCCAGTGACACCAATGATGGGGCACTATTCCTCCTTCTGACACCAATGATGGGGCACTATTCCTCCCAGTGACACCAATGATGGGGCACTATTCCTCCCAGTGACACAAATAATGGAGCACTATTCTTCCCACGGATATCAATGATGGGGCACTATTCCTTCCACTGATTTCAATGATGGAGGACTATTCCTTCTACTGATACCAATGATGGGGCACTATTCCTCCCAATAACAGCAATGATGGGGCACTATTCCTCCCAACATCAATGATGGGGCACAATTCTTTCCACTGATACCAATGATGGGGACCTATTCCTTATCCTACAGGCCATGGGCGTTATGTAATTTTCTTACAGCCTGGGAAATTTTCAACCCAACTGGCCACAGTGTGCCCCCCCCCCCCCTAAAGTCTGAAGGACAGTAAACTGGCCCTTTGTTTAGAACATTTGGAGACCCCTGATTTATATGAATGGTAACCACAGATACGGTCTTATTCCAGCTTACAAAATCACAGGTTGCACCAGATCACAAAGAAAAAGGTCAAAGATGTTATGATGCCACCTTGTGAGCATATCATTTACTACAGCGTTCTTGGATAGAGGCAAATACACACGAGAGCAGGCTTTGAATAAAGATTTAGAATGCTTTCTAAACTTTCAGAAATATGCTTGATTCCGGGGAATTGACCAACTTGGTGCTGGCATCCTTAACAAGCAATATTAGTTAATACTGTATATAATAACCCTAGAGTTTATATTCTTTATTTTTATAGGGGAGGGACACCAACAGAAAATGGTTTGTCATCCCCTATAAAAGGCCTTCAGATTTATGCCTTGGCCATTTCCATTTTCTTGGAACTGCCACTGGATTCATAATGGGTCATTTTGCATCAGAAAATGAGTCTGTGCATTCCTTCCAGAATGGGGATCAGCAACCAGTAGATTGTGATCTACCAGTAGATCTTGGCCAGGTGACCAGTAGATCACGATCCTGGCTTGCTGAACCACCATACCAGAGCATCAGAGTGCAATGCAGAGGGACTACATGTAAAGTTGGAGCTGTAGTAGGGAGCAAGAGCTGCATACGCCAATGCCTCCTCTGTAGTTTCGGCTCCTGTTCCATGCGGAGTGATGCCAACTGCACTCCACCTCTTATCCTGGCTAGCAGTCTCCAGAGTGGTGCCAGCAGCAGGAAAGAAGAGATCAGGTCCGTGTGAAGCAATACACTGGGCATAATAGTATAGGGCTGCTTTCACACTAATGTGCTGTGGTTGCCGCAGGTGCAGCTTTCCTTAGCCATAGACTATTATATCCTGCGGATTTGTAGCACTTTCTGAAAGTGCACCAAAACTCGAGAATGCAGGAGTTTTGGTGCGCTTTCAGAAAGTGCACTACACCTGCAGGATATAATAGAAATCTGTGGCACAGCACAGCTAACCCAGGAAAGTCGCAGATGCACTGTGCTGCACCCGTGGTGCAGGTAAACAGTAGCACATCAGTGTGAAAGAATCTTTATAAGGGGCTTGAAACAGAAAGGGTTCACTTACCTTTGCAGTTTGGGGTGGTAAAACCCCACAGTTACGACAGGTTTTTACCACCCCTGCCCCAACCGCACCTCCTTTAGCTGCAGTGGCCAGGGGTATACACATGTTGCAGCCACAGCAGGAGTTATACACCCTGTCATGGTTGTTGGGTGAAGCACCTGCCAAGCATGAACCATTCATGTGAATGAGGACGCTCTGCAAGTGCCCTGCAACCTTGTGCAGAACAGCAACAAGAGGTTAAAGAAGGCAGCATTGTGTTGCTTTCTCACCACCTGCTTTAACCCCTTTGGATCCTGCAGAAGCATGAAGTTGCGGGGTGCTTGCAGAGTGACCCCATTTACTTGAATGGGTCACAACTGGCAAGCAGTAGCACCCACCAAAAGCAAAAGGGGCTTTAATTCCTGATGTGGCATGTGTATACCTTTGGCTGTGGACTCAGCCGGCCTAAAGGCCGTGACTCAGCTGCTGGGTTTTAATTCCCCCTCATTACTAAGAGTGTCGCTGCCCAATGCAACAAAGGCCTTATTCAGAAGTGCAGCAGGCACTGCTGCTCCTCTGAAAAGCGATCCGAATGTGTTTGATAGGTGGTGAGAAGGTAACATGTTGCCTCCTCATCACCTAACTAAAACCCATGATTGCCATGCGACTGCAACACCGTGGTACGGCAATTAGAGGTTTAAATCAGGTGCAAGTAACTGGATGTGAAAATCGCAGCCAAGCCTTTCTTAGGAAAGAAGTAAACTATTATGACACTGCAGGTAGGACAATTGCATTGGACTGTGTTTTCAAACCTTGATTAATGCTGGATAAGTTCACCTTTTATGAAAAAATTATAAAATGCACATTTTTTGCAGTTAAAAACATGTTCATTTATTTAATTTTACACTAGAGCCTGTAATGCATTGCACCCACGTCAGTTGATCGTGGTTGCAATGCCTGGATCCTCCAGACTCCCACTACACGGTTTGCTTGTACCTCCCATATAGGCAGACATTTACTGTACTACAAGACAGTCAATGAAATAGGAGACAGTTCATTGAGATCTACAAGCCATTGGCTGCAATGGATGATAGTACTCGTAGTTTATTCATTCACAGAACTCTGAATGAATGACACAGCTATGTGGGCGAAGCCTTGCACAGTTGTGCAGTTTTTAAATTGTGAAAGCGGGTGGAAAGGATCCCCCATCTGCTGTCAGAGGGAGGGGGGAGGAGCTGAAACATGTTACATGTTCTGCCCTAAATATACGGGTGGAACACGTAACATGTTCCAAAAGGTGAACCTTATCCTTTAAAATGTGTGTTAGGCTCCGTTCAATCCAATGCGTTTTTAGTGCTTTTTGCAGACTTGCGCTACAGTCCATTCAACATGGTTTCCTATGGAACGTGTTCAC